GAGCTTCAAGGACGCTTGAACAGAAAAGGCTCAGCTACTACCACAGTCATGCAGGACTCTTTGTAGAGTTCATGTTTGGCCACTTCAGTACTGCCTCTATGTATTTCTGGGTGTAGAAGAAGACCTTGTACCAGATACCACTGCTGCCTGCTGGATTCTATACAATACTTGTGAATCATGCTTCTGTGGGACAACTTCCAGCCTCCAGGAGTTGGAGCTCAGAAAAGGAATTCTTGCTTTCAGGGCTCCTGATGGACATTCCACGGTTCTTGCCCTTCAGCCCATACGGGAGCAATGCCATCACTGGGCTGGAGTCCATTTGGCTAACTTCCACTCATTGTAAAACTTGTTCCCCAAGTCCATCTTGGAAGGTTTAATCAAGTTATATACTGATGCCCATGTGGCACAGTTACAAATATCCTCAATGGAGGACTTATGTATGGAAATCAGAATTCACCTTGGGTATAAATGATGGATTTGGCCAAAGCACCACTCCACTGACATGAACAACACTTAAATGAGAATTAGAGGACACTGCTCCCAACTTCAACACCCTGCAGGCAGGCAGAGCAGCCACTTAAAATCTTGTTTTGAAGTGAAGTCTACGCTCAAAGGAATTCTTTCAAAACAGATGGCTATACTTGATTATGCTTTAGGTTGGGACTGGTGTTAAGAGAGACCTAGTCATTTTGTATGTCCTCAGTCCTGAAAAGTTCCTGCAAAGTAGCCAATCAATGCTGCCTTTCTGCACACTGGCTCATGTGTAGGGAACATACCTATGTATTAGGAGCTGAAGTTAAGTTTCTAGTTAGGGTTCAGAAAATGTGAGTGTCTGGGCTGTGGTGGAAACTGGAACTATCCTGGACAGGGCCAGCAAAGAGATTTGTCAACAACAACACCCTGAGTGTTACCACTGTGCATGTTGTCAAGGATTTAGGATTAGGCTTCAGCTTTGGGCTAAAGTTATTAAAATCTGGACCCCTGCGCATGCCCAGGGCAGAGCTAGACTAGAATGGGCAGAAAGAGTGATCAGCCAACAGTGCAGAGAGCAGGCCCATCTTTCACATGCTTAGGGAAATTCATCTGATTCTGAGAAGGAGGCAGAGGGTCACAGCTGGGCAGACAACTCTGTAGTTTCAAGGGTTCTGCCTGGAATAAGACTTGCTCCATTTCAAACTTTGATGCAAAATGAACGGCAACATCGCGTGAACATAGTGTGCAGTGCTGTCTGCACAGCTATCACTGAATGGGTTTGGGGTGCCCATGGGTATACCATACACAGGAACCGTGCAGTGCTTATGAAGGGCGCCCAGCAACAGAATTATCCTATTTCACCCACAAATGTTAGCTAGAATCCTAGCTAAAACACAGTGGGGAAGCCTCCCCTCCAAAAAGCAAGTTGAATACAAAGCTGCAAAAAGTGACAAATGGGTTTTAGGTTGCAAGTTGAAATTAAAGGTGAATTCTGGTTCTGCAAAGACTGCAAGTATCCAGTCAACATTTTTCAACTGTTGAGACTTAACTGTGTGCCCTAAAGATGGCATGCCGTGTACAGGAAGCAGCGCGTGCGTTTATCTAGAGAAATACTGAATGGGGAAGGAGTGCTAGGACCAGACCCAGACAGGACGGACATCCGCATCCTGAACACGTTTACAGGTGGACACATCCTCTCGTTTCCAGCCAAACTTGCTTCCATGTTAGTGAGATTAGGAACAGTGTGTATAGTGGAACACAGCACGACCGTGTTGTTCAACCCCTTTCAGAGTCGTACAAGTAGAAGCTAGTTATTTAAATGCTGCAGCAAGGTACAGTTTCAACACACTTAATGCAGTAAAGAAACAAAAAAGGCACGTATGTTTATAACAGAAATAGAAGGGAAGCCTGGATGACTCGCGGATTCACACACCCTTTTTTGTTCCACCAGGGATGAAAATAAAGCATTGTTTTTGAGATTCTTATTCACAACTATTCTTTTAAATCATAAAGAGATTCAGGATTTGGCAGTAAATAAACCGTAATTTCAAGATGAGGAAGAGAATTTCAGCCAACTGGTTCCAGACCAATACTCTTAGCTGTATTGCATGCGAAGAGTTTTGCATCTGTCAAAGCTCCATAAACAGACCTTAAAGCAGTTTTATGTAATGCGATACAAGTCTGGACATGGGATGCAAAGATTCTGTTAACCACCATGATGCAATTAGTGGCTGGGATGACTGGTGGAAGGAGAGAAAACAGGATGAAATGCCACATGCCTTCTTCCCTCTATGGATTCTTCCCTTTTCACAAGAGAGTACAGAACTATCTACAATATGACATTTCTTTCCCATCCATGAAAAGGCAGTTGATTACACAAGCCCGTGTTCTCTGCATTACCACCTGTCATATTTTTTATCAACAGTTCCTATTTCACAAACTGTATACATAAGTAGGGAATTATGACAGAGTTTGCTCATATTCTTTTGTGGAAGGAAAACAGTATTAAAACTTATCTTCCTTCAGTTCTGCCTTCACTGTTAAAATAGTGTTTTTAGAAAAAGGGATTCTAAAAGCAGGAAAAGTGATAGAAAATATGCTTTCTAAAACCCCAACTACAATTACAAATATAACGCTCCATGTCATTTATTTTTCATTTCCACTCTGAAAATTGAAATAAAAAGTTACAATGACCACTGGACATTAGAGAAAAGGCTTCCAGCTCCCTATTTAATATTTTAAAACTCTCTTGCTACATACTATTTTTTGCACTGGATTTTGGAAAATCCCACCCAAAATGGGCTAATCCTGAGGCAGATTCAGGATTTGTCCTAAGTAAAGCAAGGGTCCTCCGAATCCCTCCGATACAAATCTGGGTTCCTCCCGGGGGTGTCAGGAACAATTCAGAGAAATGCAGAAACATGACAGTATATTTCTCAAAATGTATATACACACCCTGGCATGCTATCCAGTATAAGGGGAAAGACGGAATGGAGAAATGGGAGGTGAGAGGTAAGTGGGTGAAGCTGTATTACTGAACAGTTTCAGCTCCAAATCAGGGAATACCTCTTCCAGGGCGCTCCTGTTTCTTCCAAAGCACAGTGGTTTTTTTGGTGTTTTTTTGGGGGGTGGGGTGGGGATGTGGTCAGAGGTACCAGAGGAAGCAACAGGGCTTCCCAGAAAGGCCTGCGTGAGAGCTAATTGGGGAAGCTCTATACATCCATGACTGCCTGTTCAGAGGGAGGCAGCTGCTGCTATCAGCCCCTCTTCTCAAGAAGGGGCATTTCTCCAAGCCCTCTCAAGGTGAGATCCCCCAGCACAACTGTACTGGCGGGAGAGCATCAAGTTCCTCCTGAAGGTGACGCCTGCCAGGAACGTCTAACAGGAGGCCATACAAAAGCTCCAGGAGTGAGGGAACGTATGTGGGGGTCAGGAAGAGCCTCTCTTGCCACCTCTGCTGCCTACTTTCCTGTCACGGGGAGAGCCAGGGAGGGACAGTGGCTCTGAACACTGGGCGCAGACTCAGGCTCGTGGGTTCTCCACTCAGCCATGGAACTCACTGGGTGACTTTGGCCCAGGCACAAACTCTTAGCTCAACCTATCTCACAGGGTTGCTGCTGCAAGGAGAAGATCGAGAAAAGGGGGAAGGGACTTATGTAGGCTGCCCCGTGTTGCTTGGAAGGAAAAAAAAAAGTGGGATATAAATATAATAAATAAATAAATATAGTGGAACCCTATAAAAGGGATATAAATATAATAAATAAATATAGTGGAACCCTGTGATGAGCTAAGTTATTTCCATGGAACAAACAGCAAGAAGGACAGCCATTTCTATCTGAAAGAATACAGGTTAAGGGGGTGCCGTGAGGGCCTTGCAAGCAGGTGGGGATTCATGGTTGCACCAACACTATTTCAACACTGCAGGTGGGTTCACACATCACACGAAGACACCCTGTGCAATAATTAACACAGGCCAGTGGTTCTCTGAACAACCCGCGGTATTCCCAACCACTGCTCAGGCCTGCCAGTTTGTCGTCCTCCTCGTTGCTCCCACTGATGCTGCCACATCAGCCCAAGGCAGCTCTGAGCAGAACTCCTTGTTGTCTGAGCAGCCTGTCCGCAACTGGTCCACTGGGGCTGCCGGCTCCCAAGGAAAAATCCTCCCCGTGCACACACTTTAGTTCACCAAACGGAAGGAATTTTCAGATCCCTTATGAATGTGGTAATGAATTTGTCCGCTTTTACATATATTTTCCTCCGGGAATTTTTGCTGTTGTGCAAAAGCACAAGACTGACGCTCCGATACTTAGCCCAACATACTGATATCCATCTCTCGTCACTGCCTTGGTCAATATCATGTTTAGTGCTTGCCTTTTTACTGAAGTAAAATTACTCCGCGGCAAGGCACCTTCCATCCAGCAACTTCTGGCTTTCCACCCCACTTCTCACGCTTCACTTTCCTCCAGGGAATGGGGCAGGGGGAGATGAACGGGGCTGAGGGAGGATGGAAGCAGCCTAAGAAAGAGCACAAGCAGTGGCGGGACGTTTTGCCACCTGGAACTTGTGATAAAATTCCCCCCTCTCCCAGAACACAATATCCACTCTCCAGTCACCTATCCTGCACTCTCGTGTGCCCTCTGGCACCTTCCCAGCCCCTACTGCTCCCTCTTGCTCCCCCCACCCCAACCTCTGTTTACCAGGCAGCTGCTGCTGCCTTATTTCCTTATTTAGTAATTCTCTATTTTTTCTGCCTATGCAGAGGTCGCAAAGCTTTGTCTTTCCCATTCTCAAGACTGCTCTGGGTCCTCACAGAGTCCAGAGGAATGCTGGGAAGGGGAGATAAGGAATGTGGGACAGCTGGAGGTCAGCTAGTTTCCAGACACCCAAAGCTTAAAAAAAAGACAAACTTTAAAAATTAAATTAGTGCTTTTTGAAAAGCAGCAGGGGCTGCATGCAGCCCACAAGCAGTGTGTTGCACACCCTGGGTTACATGACCCATTTTTTTTCTGAAAACAGTTCTTACCCACCTGTTTTCACGCTCATACATTTCTTTTGTAGCTGTTCGAAGCTGTTCGATTTCCTGGGATGTTTTTTGTCTTAAATGCTCCAGTTCATCATGCAGTTTGTTTTCATACTCCGTTTTATAATGATCTCTTTAAAATAATTTTAAGAGCAAAAATCAAAACATGTTAACAAAATCATTTATCTTTCCTAAAATCATCTATTCTGACTTAGATACAATAACAACTTTTTTTTTTTAAGAAAAAGCATTTTTCTGTCCTGAAATAAAAAGTAGCAACCTCATAAACAAACTAACAAACAAGCAAACTCCCCCATTTGGCCTGGATATTATCATCCCAAGTCTGAGTTCAATAGTGGCTAAAATGACAAAAAGAGTTGCTTATTCCACAAAGAAGCAGAAGATTTCTGCCTGCAAGTTACCAGTGCAACCAGCACTATTTCAGAATTCACACAGATACTTTTTCATATAAATCAGATTGTACTAATGGTACCATAATAATGGTATTAAGCTCTAAGAGTGCAAGTAAGCCTATAGGAGCTTCAGCACTAATGAAAGAAAAAGAATCTGAAGTATCAGACCTGAGAGTCATTTCAGAGATTTTGAAACCAAATTTATTTAGGACGTCAGGGCAAGCTATCTTTATCAGAATAAATATGCCAAATCTAATCAGAGAAATATATACATTAATTTCTGTGTGTGCACATCCTCTCACAATAATGGGAAAATTATTTCTCTTTATGTAGAAACTGAAACTAAAAACATTCAAGTAGAATCTAATTTCATTTAGATGTCCCTGGTTACTTCCGGTAAATGAACCATAAGCATTATGTTTAGTATAAATAATTTTATTCTACAACATTCTTACTCAATCATCCGTTGAAGGAATGTACTGAACTATATACCTGGATGTGACATATTTTTCATACATTTCTTCTCTGGCCTTTTTTGCATCTTCTAGCTGAACCTGAAGTCTTTCAAGACGATCTTCTTCATGAGCACAGCGAACACTGAGCTCCATGTTTTGACGGTTGAGGAAATCCTTATCTTTTTGCAGTAAGGTAACAGACTGTTGTAAATTTGCAACCTTTAAATAATAAAAAATTAGGGTACAATCAGTCTGCTTCTATGTATAATTCCACATTCCCCCCAAGAAACATTTTACTTCCATACTGTTTTATTTGGAATATTTATATATCACTGCTCTGCAGGGCAAAACCAGGATGCAATTCTGCAGCTGCCCACTGTTAGTGGTGGGACAGCTTACTTGCCTGAGTGACATGGATTTACATATATACAAATCCCTTTAATGTCACTGCCCCTTGTTCATTCTTCTTTTGCTAAAAGCAATACATTATAATCTTAGATTGTAACACACTACCACCTTCACTATAATTCTCCCTCATTCTCTCTTTCTCACTCTCTCTGAATGGATAATCCCTGGTTTGTTATTTTGCTTTGCAAATGAAAATTCTTATGTTTTCCTCCTTGATATCCACAGTAGGACAGTGAAGTATGGGTTCCGGTTTCTTTTCCATGAACTTTTCTCACTCTACTGGATCCCAATCATCCAACAAACTCAATATGAAAAGAATATGAATTTCCTAAGCTTCCACATATGGATTAGGATACTGCTCAGCAGATCAGAAATGCATTAAGTATACTCTCATTTATTAAAAACAGCACAGAAGCTATCTATAGCATGTACAGGAATTATACTACTTGAAAATGATACTCCCAAGAGATAGGAGCACACAAGGTTATGTGGCAGACAAAACAGAGAGTTTGTACTAGACAGCTAATATTTGCAAGAAACTGGACAAAGAATATCCCAGACCAACAAGAACTATGTTGTACCATGGAACTCCAACTAAGCATATACTGAAAATACAAATACTGATGAACAATTCAAAGGAAACTCCAGTTTTAGTGTTCTTATTTTAAATAGAAATTTTGCATCAAGTTCAAACAGCTTATGAAGATTCTACCTCTTTTGATAAATCATTCCTTTCTTTGGTTAATGCTTTGTGTGAAACTTCTAAAATTTCGTATTTTCTTCGGAGCTCTGAGAAATCATGTTCAAGTGCATCACGCTCACTGTCGAAACAAAACACAATGTTCAGAGGATGCCAAATTATGAGTTTTCAGTCCTTAGTTGCAACAATAGTCTGCTCCTTTTGAGCAAATCTTATAAGAACTGCCCTTCATAGTCTTGTACCAGTTGATCTTTAACTTAATTTGAACTCTGCCAAGTACCGGAATACCTGAATTCATTCTAAGAGCAATACTGGATTCTGCAGAATACTTCTTCAATGCTTTGGGTAACAGAGGCAAGTAAGCAAGCTGTCAGGACCTTGCAAGATCATTCATTCTCTCTCAATTGTTCATTTTATATTCAATGTAAGAGTGGATGAATACAAACTCAGAAGACTTCAAATGTCTTCTAATCCACCTTCCCTATTAGTATGGGAAACCAACTACTACTGCATCGCAACAGGTGGCTATCCAGGCGTAACCTAAAACCTTCTAATAAAGAAGAGTCCACCATTTTCTGGTCCATTCTATTCTGCTGTCAAACAACTCATGCCATTAGGAAGCTCTTTATAATGTTCAGCCCAAATCCTTTTTATTAGAATTTGCACCCACAACTGCTTCAACATGAGATGAGATACAACATGGGAGCATTCAGAAGCTACAAAACCCCTAGGTAGCTGCAGCATATTTCAACCTGGATCAGTTTAGACAAGTTCTGCATAATTGCTAAGGAAGAATTTTCTACAAAGACATGGGGTTGGATCCAGAATGTGCCTCCCAAGCATAAAAGAGTTTCAATCTTGATTCAATGATTCAGTCTTGCTGTAGGAATCTCCACTGGCAGAATGGGAGAAGAAAACATTTTTCTTGAGTTTCCCACCCCCAATCTGCTCTAGAGGGTTGGAAAACCTGTTCCAAATCATCTTAGCTGCCTTTCTGCTGATGGGAGTGTTCTGAGCAAGATTTTGCTCAAAGAAAACAGAAGCAAACTCTGGATCCAACCCACTAAGTACATACATTTATTAGAGCAGATCAAAAATTTTAATTGAATTAATTGTTAATACATATATATAGCAGAACCACAAACAAATTCTATGCAGAAAGAATGAGTTCTCATTAGCATCAGGTAGGACTGCAGAATCTCAGGTCTGGGGGCCAAACCTAGCTTTTCTAAGTCTCAACCTGGTCCTTCAGGGTTTCCCAGGTGGCTCTGCCCCTTTGCCTCAACCACTGGTATTTGGTGGTTTCCCAACATTTATCCAGTTTTACCTTTTCTGTATTTCTTACTGTTCCTTCTGGCAGTTAAGTGTTTTATTCGAAAATATGCTCCTGATTTTGTATTTTTGATCCACTCGCTTTTGCCTTTGCCCGCCACTGGCAAAAGCTTCTCCAAAATGGAACATGGATCTTGGCCTGAAAGAGGTTTTATACCCATCCCATATAAGCTCAGTTTTACATGGATGTTATAGGAGTTGACTTCCCTACAACGAATTATTGTACACTAAAAGTTGAATCTGTGAAGAGGTGCCACCAAAAATTTTGTGTTTAAGGTAATACAAGCTGATATGAAAATTCATTATATGATCATCTTTGCCAGGGCATACTTACCATTTTACTTTATCATAGTTCTCTTGCCGATAGTCCCCTTGCTGAATCATTTGTTTTGTATCAGCGAGTTCAAGGGCTAAACGCTGACACCTAACTTCCACCTCTGAACGATCCCTTCTCTCTGCTTCATAGTTCTGAGGAGAAAAAAAAAAAATAAAGCATGGAAGTGACACATCATGCTAAGCCAACCAGAGAATAAGCCATCAAGGGTTGGTTGTTCACCGAATAGCCCATGTAACTCCTGACAAACAGGCAGGGCTGGGTGCAGATTCTTCCTCCCGCAGTCTTCCTGCCTGCTTCTGCTGCCTATCCTGATGTGTACTGGGCACATTGTGAATTCTGAATTTTTAGAGACACTATTTCTGAATGTTCCTGACCTGAATTGATCCTCGCTACTGGCAAGATCAATCAATTCCCTCAACTTTCCCAAAATACCTTATCTGTGTTACTATAAGTGAGAATCCAGTGCAGTCGTTATAGCAGTAAGAGAGGTGTGGCCACAGTTTCATATCAATTATAGTTTGATTTATATTTGCATGCAGAATTAACTCTTTGGGGAAACCCAGATTTAAAGATCGTCAAAGAAACATTTGCCTGGTAGACTTGGACAGAGAACTTTATTTTTTACTTGGGATCAACCTGTATGGCCTATGATAGCTTTCTGTCATATTCAGCTTTGCATGCTAAATATGACTTTCCAGCTACAGCTGAATGGCACTATGTGAAAGTGAAACATCTGTTGGAATCTGGGTTCAGCCCTACAGTTTCTACAGTTTTACATCCCCCTTTGTTACTGGAAGGATTGACTAAGGTTGAAGAGCTATACTGACCCACAATCCATGTTTATAAATATCTGTTATTGCCAAATAACTATGACATACAGAGTTTTAAGCAAGAATGCAACAATGAATTAGAATACCCTATTTTGCTGAATCAATGGATTGCTTTATTGGCATCTATCTAGGAATGAGAACTGATCTTTAGGGTTTATCTAAATTGGCCAATTGTTGGAGGTGTAATACAGCTGACCCTTCTATTTCTCATATGATTTGGCAATGAACACTGGTGGCTTCTTTTTGAAATGCAACTGGAAAGCCATCTGAGAAAGATGGTTTTTAAAGATAAATGACTAACAGCACAAGACAGGAAGGACAAATAGTTCCCTGCAATAACACAAGGAACTGACGATGTGATGTAGCTTTCAGTTGGTGAATGGGTGGTTTTAGGTATAATTTATGTATGGACACATACATGAAGTTATGGGTTGCCTTTGTTGAAGTCTATACATAATAATCCCTAACAATAATAGCCCATTTCACTTTAATAAACTACATAGGAGTACATAGCACACAAGCATTCACTGAAATAGATTCACTCAACTTCCATGTAAGAAAACTGGAACACTTTCCTTTTTAATCTTTTGTTTGTTCAGATTTTGAAGCCCACAGCAAAAAATTAACTAAAAACATTTCCTAACACACATGCACACACATATCTATATATTGCTGGCACTGCTACTGTTTAAAGATTTGGGTTGGAGGATATGGATTTGCAGTACACCAACACATGGTTAACAGTCTGCAAGTCCTGTTTAGCAATTAAAAACTACTGATGTTAAAAGACAGTACTATTTATTCTTAAAGGTAGGAATAGACAGTCTTCCACCTGCCTGAGTACATAAATCGGAGCAAGTGGAATATGTGCATTCCATTTACAATGGAAGGTGTTCTAAATTCAGAGCTGCAAAACTGGCCAGCCATAACAAGTTTAACAATTGTGGTTGGTTTACAATGCTCGAAAACCCCTTACAGTTTCCTACATGGCTTCAGAGGGAGAGCCATTTGTTCAGTGGCACAGGAGTTCTATGTCTTCTATGCAGAAGGTTTTCAGGTGAATTAGAAAGCCAAACTTATGCTGACCACTCATCTTAAACTCATGGAAGAGAGGCTTCCCTCTGCTTCCTTATAAACTAGAATTCTTGAAATCTTTCAGTTCCCTTGAACTAGAATAGAACATTATACATGTAAAAACTGGTGATTAGTTCAAATAATTTATTTAATAATCAGAAGCACTAGAGACTCTTTTTAGGATAGTGAGAGAGACCTTGCATAGAGGCAGACATGGAGCCATATTTTGGGTATGTTAAAAAATACTTCCTTTTTCAGAGTTCAATCTGCTATGTTTCAACTAAAATGGGTATGCTGAAGTTCTAGTATTATAATGAAGGAATCTCTGTGTTCTTCTCAACCATGTATAATTTTATAAATTTGTTGTGCCCTCACTATGATTTTTTAAAGTGTCTTGAAACCTTTAAGTTTCCTTGTAGAAAAGTACTCCAAATCCTTGTTGAATTTAGTTGCCTCTCTCTATTTTTCAACTCCAACATTTGCCTTCTGAGATGTGCATCCCTGTGACAGTATCTATTTCCATCCTACCACATGTGTGAAATAGCACCACCACAATTAACACCCAGCAGAAGGAATGCCACACAGCAAGAACCCATGCGCTACTGAAATGAGGGGTTGTCAGGACCATGAATGAGCATGATTAAGCCTCTCATACTCATGCTTTCCACACTGACTCAGCTTTAATCAACATCAGAATGCTCTCTCTTAACCCAACAATCTCCCATGATTGTCCCTCAACAACCCAGAGTTCTGGGTTCAGATGTCACATTGGCTCAAGGTGACTGAGAGCTGAAAAACAACCATGTGGGAAGCCGCACACACTCTCCTGTGCTCATGGCCCTGCCAATTCATATGTAAAACAATCCATGAACTGCCAGTATGTGTGAACCAATTCAATACCGTGACTCTAGGTCACAAAGCAAACAGAATGTCATATCTGTATATCAAATAAAAAACCACACACATACAATCTGACCAAGCATATTTGATATTTAAAAAGGAGGACCCCACTTGCTTGATAACAATTAAGGAAATGAGTAGAAGGTAGCCAAGTTGCAGCCTCTTTCAAGAACATTTTGTCAAGAAGAGGCAAGCCTGCTTGAGACTAGCTACCTATCATGGGTAAGGGGATTCCATCACTCAAGGGCACTATGTTTTCCCTAACACCCCTAAAAACTTGTATTTCTCATTCACTTTAAACCTCTAGTCCAAATACACCAAACCTTGCATTGTTGCACAAATAAGCCCCACTAAATCCACGTCCATTTGCACAATGTGTTTGTTCCCCCCCCCCACACAGTCCCATCAAGTAGTTGAAACCCATACTGAACTTTTGCTCATTCTCAGACTGGACAAGATGAAGAATAAGAAATTCCACTACTTATGAATATTATATTCCCTGAACCTCTGCTTATATGACCACCTTGAAGTGAAGTTGTACATCTGGATGTATAACAGTTGCAGTGTTCACCAATAAGAAATCTCCAGCCCAGTTAACACGTAAGTTAAATTAGCTTAGTTAATTAACCTATGATTTGTGGTGTCACATGCAAGCTAATTTAGCTTTCATAATCAAATCTCAAGCAATCTGATCATAGGTTCTTGCATAAAGGGAGTTGTTTAGCACACAAACAACCTAAAGTATCAAGGTTTATATGTCATGCAGCAAGCTACAACTGGGACAATTAGTGGTTGATCGCGCAGAGCAAAAGTAGTATGTATGCTGCATTATTTGCTTCCATTATGTGCAAACAGACCCTTTTTCAATTGCTGCTGTCCAAAAAACTGCTCTAGAAATTATTCCTGGTCTTCCTCTTACTGCATATTTCTGATTTTCACTGTTAGAAACATCTTAGTAAGCAGCTTTGTAAAAGTGGTTCTGAAGATTACATGCAAGACTTTCTAAAAGATAAAACAATATAAATCTTCAAAATTATGATGCAAGATTAAACTCACTTTCAATAATTCTAGAAAGAATTTTAAGGCATTTATAATTATAATCTTTCCAACTTTAATAAGAATTCAGTGTCACATTATTTCTCAATGTATAAATTAACAGCTATACTGGATAATTTGTTATTATTTTTAGAGTACGACAAGGGAGTTCCTTATTTTCATTTGGCAGAATAAGGGTTTCTTCCCTCATTACGGATATGAAAAGTGATCAACTGAGCTTCACATCTAACACTCTTCAGCAGTTCCTTTCAAAAGATATAGCAGGGATGCTAAAGAAAGATATTTCAGTAGAGCCAGCTTAGTATCAAGCAAATATGCCTGGGAAAACTGTTTGCTTTCACAGCAAGTGAAACTGGGACAAATTTCATTCATATTCAGGAGGGCACTAGGTTAAATTTTGAGCTTTTCCCAGAAACCAAATACCCAAACATTGTCAATGTTCTGTACGACTGAGAAAGGGCACAGCACCCTCTACTTTTCTTTAGCAGTATCCTAAGCTCTCATTCCCTTTAATCCATAAAAATAAATGCATAAGTTCTAAATGACCTGTCAGAGATCACTGAAATCCAGTTGAGTAGATACTGACATCAAGTGGTGAGAAATAGCAAAGGTTCAGGTATAACTCTTTCTGTACCTGTGTCTTAAACAAGACTTTATTCATTAGAATCTTCCTTTAGATACAAATCAGATGGCTACAAGAAGTTGTGTTTTTCTTTGGATTTCTATCTTGTCTGTGCTTATATATTGTACTGAACATACACAGAAACACATGTACTTTTGTAAAAATGAAGTGAATCCATTGTCAACCAACATTTTGAATCAGTAAGGAGAAAACTGAAATTTATGGAATTTCAGCATATTGTAATGCTCTTGAAGTCATGATGCTCTTGCCAGCTGTGGAACCCAAAACTCGAGCACATGGCCTACTTCCACCCATCATTATTCTTGTTTTTGTTTTTCTCAGTCTTGAGAAAACATACAGCATAGCAACATGTCAGCATAGGAAAATTTAATTATAACTTTTCATGACCATCTAACCTAAGAATTCTGTCCAACTTTAAATATCACATCCTGCATCTTGTACAGTACCAGGCACAAATGGCATTTTCTTGCTTGGTCATTGTTTGTTTTTCCACTAATCATTTCTGGGAGAATATTTATCTGGAAGAATAAAGGTTTTCCAAAGTATGTTTGGCAGATATGGGAAAGGGACACCTAGGAAAAGTACGCACAATGATCAGCTTTTGTACATAATGAGTTTTCCTATAAGA